CACCTGCAGAACAGAGGGTGATCTAGTCAGTGACCTGATTAGAGAATAGCTCTATATTTTCTGTAGTGGAGCATTTACTCTAACTTCTTCATCTTCATGGACACAAGCCCTCCCACATTTTAGACGGATTAATTAATTAATAAAGAATAATTTTTAGTATGGGACAAGTATCTTGTCAAAGACTGGAATTTTACTTTGGGATTTTGTTTTGTGTATGATCCTTTCCTTAATGTAGAAGTGACCTTCTTTAATTTTGCAACATTGAGACTTACAGCACATACCTGTAGATGGTATCACCGACCGTAGTTTCTTTCTCTCTAGTTACTCACTTGCATAGGGAAGTAAAATCAGGTGGCTTGTACATTGGTGTGACATTAATAATTTTGTGAAGTTCCTTGTCTTTCTTCATGCCTTCACTTATTCACAGATATTATTAAGCACTGGCTGTCTTCTAGATGCTAGGGGATAAACAATGAACAAAGGGAAGCCTCTGCTTTCTTGGTGCTTCTATTCTGGTCTCAATCAGAAAACATTTTTTTTTTTTTTTTAGATTTTATTTATTTGACAGCGAGAGAGACAGCGAGAGAGGGAACACAAGCAGCAGGAGTGGGAGAGGGAGAAGCAGGCCTCCCGAGGAGCAGGGAGCCCGATGCGGGGCTCGATCCCAGGACCCTGGGACCATGACCTGAGCCGAAGGCAGATGCTTAACGACTGAGCCACCCAGGCGCCCAATCAGAAAACATTTTTGGGTGGAATCGATGATGATGATGATGGCAGGCTCCCATGTTTGGGAACACCTCCTGGGGAGGACAGTGATAATCTCTTGTTTACTGTGTTTCCGAGGAGGGGCTACCTAAGCATTTGGGGCTTTCTGTGTCTCCCTAGCAACTTTTATTCTGAACACTGAGGAAATTGAGGAGCTGAATAAATCACATTAGAGTAATTACCGTGTGCTTCATAGTGTTCTCAGCGCATTACAAATAACTAACATTTCAGGCTTGTTACGGATCTGTGCAGTGGGTAGCGCTGGTATCCCTGTCTTACAAACCAGGGAACTAAGTCACTTGCTCCCGTAAGCAAGTGGGACTACTTACTGGTACTCAGGCTCTTTAACTGCTGCCCTGTCTCCTTCTATATCTGGGGAGAGAGGTTGCTTGTTTTCCTTCTCCCACTTGGGATTTCTTTGAAAGTTTAAGAGTATTCACTGCCAGATTTGGGGACAGTGAAGGGAGTCTGGCCCTCCTTCCATTGTGGTTTGCATTCTTTGGGAGCTCCCTTTCCTTTTCCTTCCTGATTCTTTCACATTGAATTATGTGTTTAATTTGTGTAAATGGAATGTGTTTAATTTTATTTAATGATGTGTGTTTCTCTCTGTTCTGCTAGACGTTCTGTAAATTCCTCGAAGCAAGGATCTGGCAAATAGGTACATGTGACAAATAGGTCAAAGCATGTATTGTGAATTCTAAAATGATTAGATCAGTTTACTTGAAATTGGGGATTTCCCCATCCTTTGTGGGACCGCATAATAGTTTAATTTAGCTGTTGACAAATGTTTAACTGTATTCTGATCAGTGGGATGTGAATAATAGGCCATAGCATATTGGAATAATAAGACTGGGGGCAATATTATTTAAAACCTAGCATATTCAACATATGTGTCTCTTGGGAAGAAGTCTTTATGCCACTGCAGATGCTGTTTTTAGGTAGGTAGCAACATGGCATTCCTACTTGATAATTCTTCATGTCAGGGATCTTTTGATTATTTGAGGTTAGGTCATTTATATTCCCCCAGAATCCTCAAGGACATTCTGGCCCCCCTTTCAGGGAAATGTTCTTCTGTTTTCTTCAAGTTCTGATCATATTTACAACCTTGGTCCTATTAAGATCCCTTATTGCACCTCCCCCCAACTTTCTCTGTGTCCAGAGTATTTCCTCATGCTTTCAGGCTACCTCTGAAATCCTGTTCCCTCAGTGAAACTCTTCAGTTAATTAAAAGAGGAATCTGGCCTCACCTTTATTTCTACTTATTACTCAGGGATGAAGTTCAACAAACATCCATGGTGCATGGTTTCTTCCCTTTAATTTTAATGGACTAATTTATTCTGCACATGAAAATAGGAATCTCTGTTTTATGCTTTACTTTGCACAATGAACTTGCCCATCACAGTAAACATGAATTTCAATTCTGCCGGTCCCTGGTCCTTGTTTGTTTTGTTTAAGAAAGAGTTTATGACATGTGGATGACAAGGAACTGAAACGCTGTTACATTTGTGTTGGTTTAATGGGGCTGCCATAAAAGAGCACCACGGACTGGGTCATGAGACAACAAAAGTTTATTTCCTCCCGGCTCCAGAGGCTGGGAGCCTGAGATCCTGGTGTTGGAAGGGTTGGCTTCTTTTGTGGCCTCTCTCCTTGGCTTGTAAATAGCTTTCTCTCCCCGTGTCTTCACGCGGTCTCGCCTCCGTGTGTGTCTCCTCTTCTTATAAGGACACCAGTCATTTTGGATTAGGGCCCATCCTGATGATCTCATTTTAACTTAATCACATCTTTAAAGCTTTATCTCCAAATACAGTCACTTTCTGAGCACTAGGGGTTAGGATTTCAACATACAATTTCGGGGAGACACAATTCAGCCGTAACAAAGTTTAAATGTATAACATGGTTGTCCTAAACTTTTATGACAATTACAACAAAAATTCCTTTTAAAGCTTAAAAATGGGCAAGGGACGAGGACATCTCGATGGAGAGGAGATTGCAGGATATATTGCTCGTGATCTGGCTTAGACCTGGCTAAGGGATTTAGGGTGAAAATTCATAGTAATGAAGACTTTTGTTTGTACTTTCCTAGTTGTTTGGATTCAATGACAGTACCTTCTAAGTACCTCTAAGTTTTCGTGATTCTCTCTTAATAAGTGTTTGTAATTAGACCTGACTGCTTATTTGGGAAGATGCTTGGAGAGGCGTTTTTATAATCCCACGTTTCCCGGGTAGAATGTGAAAGAGCAGAGCTTGTGTCAAATAGGCCTTGATTTGAATTTGAGGCCTTTTCTGCTTATAGCAAGCTGAAGAAGATGGCTCTAAAAATCCTTCTCTTGACATCTTACCAACTGTGTGGCTGTGGACAGGTTATGTAGCCCCCATACACCCTAATTTAGGCATCTATAAATTGGGAAGGGAAGCTGTCAGGAGGCTTTCCTTGGCTCTTGGTGCTTGTCACTATTGCTCATTGCAGATAGATGCCGACCCTCTGTAGACGACCCTGGGTGGCGGGGCTCTGGCACGCAGCCCCTGCAGCCCTGGGGCAGGGGGCATCCGCCTCCACACCTGTCGCCTTGGGTAGCCTCCAGTGCCTGTCTGACTCGCGTGCCCTGGTGGACGTCTGGCTCGCAGCTGTCAAAGTGGACCTGGGTTTATGTCAGTGTCTCTACTCTTGCTCGCTGTGTGATGGAGCCTCTCGGCGAGATAGATGTCACTTGAGGGAAGATGGGTGGGTTCCAACGGATCACCTTAAAATGATTTTTTCTTACCTCCTCTTCCTGTATGTGCTGGGGTCCCCAATAGTTACAAGGACAGTCTTCTTTTTATTATCTTCTCAGGAGGCAAATGGTGAAAGTTTGTGGGGCAGAGGTACCATTTAGCCTAGCACATCAGCTTCTAAGATCTGCAGACATTAGTATTGCCAAAACCAAGTACTGGACCTTGTGCCTACTTTTTCTAGTGCAGAGTACCCACACGGCAGAGGGCTCAATGAAATGAGGTGTGTGTGTGAGTGTGTGCGTGTGTGTGCATGCGTGTGTTTGAGGGTGGCAGAGGACAGCCGCTTGCCTTCCACATACTTTATGCTAGCTAAATTGAATTTTCATCCTCTGTGTTGGGATTAAAATTTCATAAGCCTCATTGTTGAAAACACTAAGGTGGCTTTTATTATTAGGCTTGAATAGACCAATTGATTCAGTGTGAAGTTTTATTCCAGTAAAACCATTGAAACAAGTTGACCAGCGAGTTCTCTATATAGGCATAAGTAACCCCAAGGTCTGTGAGGCTTACCTACTTTACATATTTTAATCATTATAGAAGAGCATTAAAATACAACACTCTCGACAGTAGTATTTGACCTGGAAAAAGTCCCATGAGCGAACCCATTGACCATTGCCTTTCTCTGGTACCACTGCTGGTATCTTCTCCTTTGGATTCTGTATTCATCAGAACTTTTTCAGCTGCAAGGGACAGAAACCCAACACAAACAAGCTTAAGCTGGAACCGGAATTTATTTCAATTTAAGTGAAAAATCATAGGACTAGAAATATCCTTAAGTGGAGTTAGATCCAGGAGCATATAGGATATTATTGGAGCATTTTCTTTCTCTCAAATGGATTTGTTTTCAGAAAATTGATGAGAAAAATGACCGCCAGCATCCCCAAAGTTGTATCCTTATGACTTCCAACTGGAAAGGAAGAGCCTCTGTCTTCCTGTGTCCATATATCAAATATCAGGGAAGATTTTGATTATCATCCTTGAGCCTATAAATGACCAGCCTATAACTGGCCAGAATATTGTGGCCAGCGACTGTGGCAAAGCATCTTGATTGGCAAGTCCACTGGGATCACATGGGCTGGGACAGGGCCAATGTCCCATCCCAGCCTAGCAAACAAACTGCCTAGCAAACTGCCTAGCAAACAAACATATGTCTAGTACACATAACCAGCATTTCCAAGTTGGCAAGGGTTTAGTGTTTATTCTTTTAGTTGAAAGGGAATGGGAAGGTAACCGTCATAAAACTGCTAAATCCATTTGAAAGTCGTAAGCTGCACATTGCAGATCTGTTTGAGATGACAAGATAATGACACACATGAAAAGTGTCCATCAGGTGGGATATACATCGTATAGACAATTGAATAGTTGGAGCGTAATGGAGATTCCTGAGGTGGATTTAACCGTGGGCAGTGTTTTGAGTAAAGGTAACAAAATGACAATAATGGACTTCTGCTTTTTTTGGTAGGGTTAGATGATTGCCTACAGCAGTATGTCCACAAGTTTGAACGGGAGAAGATAAATGGAGAGCAGCTGCTGCAGATTTCCCATCAGGATCTTGAGGAGCTGGGGGTCACGCGAATTGGACACCAGGAACTTGTGTTGGAGGCTGTCGATCTTCTCTGTGCGCTGGTGAGTTCAGGAAAAGATGATCTGTGCCATGATGATGTCCTCTAGAACCTTACTCGCTTAAATCCTCAATGTTCGCGATTTGGTGTGTAGCATCGTTTTGTATTAATGCTCCATTGAAGTGAAGCATGAGCTGAAGACAACATAAAAAAGGAAGAAAAGGAATCGTTTTCTAGGTGAGGAGGGGGCAAACTGGCCTGCAGGTTAAGCCTGGCCCATTATTTTTGTCAATAAAGTTTTATCGGCACACAGCCACGCCCGTTCATCTGTTGTCTGTGGCTACTCTCCGGCTACAGCAGTAGAGTGGAGTATTTGGACCAGGGACCCTGTGGTCCCCCAGAGTCCAGTGTATTTACTGTCTTGCCCTTTAAGGAGAAGCTTACCTTTTACAGAAAAAAGTCAGTGTTAGTTTCATTTTCTTATCTTGTGTGGAGAGTACAAAGAGGGAGATCATCCTGAACGCCGGTGGCATCTTCTAAACTAAAATGAGAAATAGGTTCTGATTTTCATGTCTGTTTTTGTCACTATGAAAAGCTTTTTTATGTTTCCCAGGTATTTATGATATTTAAATAACCGATGCTCATGCTTGCAGTCACCAACCTATGAAATGGTAGCTAGGTGGGAAAAAATGTGAACATAGTTACACTTTGCAGATGCTTGAGCTTTGGCTTGAACATAAATGAGTTCAGTCCTGCCAGGTTCTGACTCTTGCACGACACCCGTGGCTGCGTGAGTGACTTTTTTAGGCGTGGGCTAAAAGTATCTGTGAGGGCATTGTGTTTACAAACTGGCTGCCGTGCGGTGGGATCCACGTCCGTGTGTTACGGTGCCATGTCCAGGATGCAGTTTCCCCAGCTGTCAGGATCTGGACCCGCTCCGCAGCATTCAGGCTGGGTTAAGTAATGCCATGAACCTGAGCCAGGGGTATATACAATTACATCACTGAGAATGGTGGGAAAGAATGTGCTCCCGATTATTTTGCCGTTGCTGGTCTGCGTTCCGTTGATTATGTAACACTTGCCACATTGTGCATATTCTTCTTCTTAAAATGGACAGAGCTTTGTCTCCCGCTCTGAGATGCGCTGCTCTTGTTTACAAAAGTAATGGGCAAATTATTTGTGGTTGATAAATGAGCTGCCACAGGGGAGACGCGGTGGCCAAGTGGTGTGAGTGTTGGCCTGGGAGGCAGGCTTTCTGCATTCTAATCCTGGCTCTGCTACACTCCTCACTCTGTGACCTCCAGGGAAACGGGGGTGTCTGTTTTCCCCATCTGTACAGTAACACTCTCTGGATGTGGCAGGACTCTAACGTGTCTGTTGCATTGCCCAGAAGATGTCTTAGAGTCCTGTTTATTATTAAGGCTGTATGGTTTTCTTATATACAGTGAAACATGTTTGAGTTTACTTTTATTGTACTTTCTGGGAAGCTCACTTTTCCATCTTTTCTGCTCATTTGATTTGTCTCTTTCAACTTCGAGGAAGGGCTTTGAGGTAAATGACTTTGGAGTCCACAATATGAGAGGTGAGGAGGAAGGGTCGATTTGAGGCACGTGGTGTATAGCAAGCCAGGTAATAAACATAACAACTGCCTCTCTGCTCTTGCCCCTTCCCTACCTCTTAAAATATTGGACTGAAATGAACAAAGCTGGACAAATGCCAGAACCTAAAGCTGCATTTTATCTCCTACAATTTCCTTCTAATTTCCTTTGCAGACAAAGTTTGACCTCAAACTCATTCTGGACATGCTTTGTGCAGCAGAGTGCCAGTGAACGCATTTGACAGGAGGGGCACAGGGGGGCTCTCAAATGAGTGTGCCTTTTCTGGGTTGGGGAGGGTTTTAGAGGGTTTGATTAAAATATCTTTTTCATCTTGATGTAATATCCTCATAAAACATTCCTATTGAAATGCATATGTTAATTATTATACTATCTGTTTAATCTATTTACACTATAAGATCTTTGTATATATAAATTGGTGATAATTCTTTGCCTTGAACAACCCAACCCTTGGGCAGTTCATGTATATTTGCAGTTGGCCCTGGGGTTATAAAAGAGGTTGTAACGTAAACTTAGTTTGGTGGATGTTGGTTTTGTGATGGACAGGAAATGAATAGAATGTAGAAGAAAGAGAGGAAAAAACAACCACTGGAAAGTTCTGGAAAGAACGGCGCAGATAGAATGGATAAAAACCTAACATAGGGAATAGCTATTGGTAAAGATTCCAAAACCGGTGAGCAGATGGCCCACAGATAGCTAGTCATGGATAGAGAAGAGAACCAGGAGAGAACACCACTGCCTTTTGCAGATATTGACCATGGACTTGTATCATGAGGCTGAACCAAGACCATTTCTTAGGATTGAATTCAGAGTCTGAGCCCAGTTTTTCTCCACCTATCTGGGGCAGACTCTAGAGCTGCTCTTTCCAGTAGGACAGCTATTCGCTACGTGCAAATATTTAAATTAAAATAAATTAAAATGAAATAAAATTCACTTCCTCGGTCACACTAAGCTGCATTTCAAGGGCTCATAGCTACTGGTGGCTAGTATCTACCATATTTGGACAGTGCACATAGAGAACATTTTCATACTTGCAACAAGTTCTGTTGACTAGCGCTGGTCTGGAGGGTGCGATCGAGAGTAAGAACAAGTATAATTGTAACCGATTTTCATTGCGAAATCAACCAAACCCTAGTTACCAAGGCAGGCGCATATATATAATTATATATAAATTAATTAAATATTTTATAATTAAATATAAAATATTATATACATGTCTTAAAGATTTTATTTGTTTTGGAGAGAGAGAGAGAACCCGTGCATGTGCAAAGGGGGAGGAAGAGAGAATCTCAAGCAAGACTCCATGCCAAGCACAGAACCGGTTGCAAGGGCTCCCTCTCACGATCCTGATGAGATCAAGACCTGAGTCAGACGCTTAACCAACCGAGCCCCCCAGGTGCCCCATATTTTTAAGGTTGAAGTAGGTTGAGAAAGTGAACAAAGTAGGGATCAGTAACACATGTTAGGTGATGCCACCTAAATGTATGATTAAATGAAATACCTGTAATGTATTTACCTGGCCAGGGCACTTCTGTGCACTTGTATATCCCTGAGATGATTCATTTCCTCCTTTACCTACATCTATGGCAAATCATGAAAACATGTTATCCTTCTTTATGGGGAAAAATCATGCTGGAAGAGTAATCTTTGCTGACAGTCTGAATTTAACTGGATCTTGCTTATGAGTGTATTAAATGCCTTTTGGAAAAAATGTGGAATACATCTCTTAGGTTGTGACTGAACTGAGCCAAGTCAGTGGGATGGTTTCGATTGTGTTTTCTCTGGCACTCCTTAATCACATATGTTAGATCATGGACAGGGTCGGGAGGAATGGGACAAGAAGGTAGAAGAGAAGGAGAAGATTCATCTTTAGCTAAAATGTGTATAATGAAGGCACCAGAAGAATGAGACTCTGCCTTTTTCCTTCTCTCCTGTCTCTTGTGTGATTTCTTAGCCAGACCAGGAAATAACCCCCTGATGGCTTACCTCTAATGAAGCGGGATCTCAGCGGAAGGGTTTGTGTATGTGTATAGATTTTCAGAGACTCATTTCATTTCTTACTTGGTTTGTATCTTCTTGATACTTTTATCTTAGCGCAATTTCTGAATGGGACAAGTTTGAGGGAAAAGATTAATGAAGGTAATCAAATCTGGTGTGAGTAATTATTCATTTTCTGTTTTTCATTGTGGGGCACTTAAGTCAATAATCCTTTCCTGATTATGTTTCTACATTAGAGGTTCTCTTGAGCGAATATAATCAGTTTCTTGTTCTCTTCTTGTGTGGAATGGGGGGCGGGGAGGGAAGGAATTGTCCTTCTTTGCTCCTTCTTTCTATCTTGTTAAAATTGTACTCCATCATAGCTGCATCTGTCCCTCCTTCCAGTCCTATGATTTGTTTTGGGTGGGAAACCAGATTCAGAGCCCATTGAGTGGAAAGGAAAAGAACCAGTTAACAAGAAGCTACGCTTCCCCTTTATTTTAATATTAGAAATGGTAGGTTTGTAGGAGATTGAGGTTTAACACTTCTTGCAACACTAAAATGCATTTAATCCTCTTTGAGTTCAAGAAGTAAATGTTGTGTGTAGTAATAAGAGTTCCAAGTCATTTCTGGTGACACTGATTCTAGAAAGCTGACTTTCCTGCTTTTAGTTCAGAACTCTTGATAGAAGTTGGCAGGCTGAGTAATTGAATGAGGGGACAGTTCCCTTTAATCAGTCACAAGTCCTTCAAAACAAGCTGGTCATGTGGCTCTTTATCCATTCACTTGTGAGTCTTTGATTCTCTGGGTTTAAAAAGTATGATGAAAATCCATCTTTGTATTTTTGTCTTCTTTGTTGAAGGACAATGTCATATTTTAGTCTGTAGAAAATGACAGGAAAAAAATGAAGGAATATGAGATTTGGATAGAACGTTACTGTTAATACAGAACACTCATTTTTATTATGAAATTTTATTTCATTAAATTATGAAATTATGAATTTATTATGAAAATTTTAAAGCTTGCAAAAGACAGCCTCCAGTTAACGGATCTGAGGAGGTATTTTCATTTTTATTTTTTTATTTTTTTATTGTACTCCACTCTTTTCAAAATGTCTATCTAAATTTTTTTAAAAAGCACTTTTTATTTTATTATAGGCAGCAACATTAATTTAAGCTTCATGAAAATTTCACTGCAGTGAAAACCCAGCTATAGTGTCTGTAGTCAGTGTCACCAGAAATTACTTGGAACTTTTATTACTATGCAAACATTGACTTCTTGAACATCAGGGGATGGAGCAGGTCAAGATAGAATTTGGGGGGAGGTAAGCAGCTTGTTAGTTTGTGTAGATACAAGGCCACTGGCCACTTTTCTTTTCCTTGTCTACTACCCATCCTGTTTTCTGTCTTCTCCTTCTGTCCTCCCTTGGGCAGGGAGCGTGGACGGGGATCATGCAGCATGGTGATCGAAACCTTGTGCCCTCGCTGCGGTTGGCCTTCATTATAATCCCACCTCTCCACGGAGGAGCTGTGTGACTTTGGGGAATTTATTTAATGGCTCTGTGCTTCAGTTTCCTCACCTATAAAATAGAGATCCTGTCATTTCCACCTTTGTGTGCTCTTTCCCTGAGATAATACTTGTTGAGCACTTGGCCCAGTCTCGAGATGGCGGAGAGTAAGTGTTCAATAATATTGGTCATTCTTTTATTCCCAATGTTTAAAGGGCACCACATTCTTGCTTTGGGGATGCTATTGCAACAGTATAACAGACCCCAGAAATACCTTCATTTTTTGTTAAAATAATGAAACACCAACTTGGGATATGTCCATGCAGCTGAATACAGAAATGCATCCTTCCTCCTCTCAAAGTCATCTCAGATGTAGGTGTTGGGATTTGTTCTCTACCTATCACATGAGGTTCATTCTTTCAAAGCACCTAAGTAGAACATTATTATCCAGAAAGAACACTCCAGAAGTTTCTCACAGGTGAGAAACTCAAGAGACGGAAATTACATTTCAGGTGAATTGACGTTTGGTCAGTGTTGCTGTTTCTGGGCAAGTGAGTCTCACCTGATGGAAATTCATCCATTCAGGGGCTGCTTTGTTGTCTTCTGTGCTGCCAGTATGAATGTGAGCCGGACACAGAACTTGGCTCTCTTGGACCTCAAATTTCCGTGGAGGAAGGTGGTGCCAAACAGGGTGGTTCAGAGAGGTGGCAGATCGGTGATGAGCTAGAGAGTGACCTGAAGGGGCATTTGGCAATGTCTGGAGACATCTTTGGTTGTCACAACTAGGGAGAGGGTGCTACTGGCCAGGGGTACTGCTCAGCATCTTGCGATGTACAGGAATCCTCCCTCTCCCCCTCACCCCAACCCAAACAGAATACTGGGCTTTAAATGTCAGTAGGGCTCAGGCTAAGGAACTTGCTCTAGAATGTCAAGGAAGCCTCAAAGAGGAGGGAACCTTTGGGCTAGTAGGTAAATATAAAAAAGAGCTGTTCGTGCAAATATGTGTGGCAGGAGCATTTGAAAAGAGGAACTAGCAAGGACAAAGTCCCTGGGACAGGAGTACGCTGGAGGAAGGACAAGAGGCTGGAGTGGGTAAGATCAGCACTGTGGGTAAATCATGTAGGGTTTTGTGGCTGTCGTAGGAGTTATTCAAGTTGCTCAGTGGGCTTTTGAGTTACTATGAGAGTTTGGATGTTGTTGTCTTGAATTTTTCCCTTTGATTTTATTTTCCACAGAATTATGGCCTGGAAACTGATAATATGAAGAACTTAGTTCTGAAACTGCGAGCATCTTCCCACAACTTACAAAATTACATAAGTAGCCGGAGGAAAAGTCCGGCTTATGATGGAAACACTTCCCACAAGCCCCCCAATGAGTTCCTGACTTCTGTGGTGGAGCTAATAGGTGCTGCTAAGGCCTTGTTGGCTTGGCTGGACCGGTAAGTGATGCATTCGCTCGACCGTCCGATCAGGGGAGGGCCCGAGCTGCACACAGGCCTGTCTGTTGTCTTAGGGAAATGAGCTGGTGTCTCTTTCCTGTCCCTTCCACTGCACCGCTGCGGGAGTTCTGGCTCAGTGGGGGGTTTTTGGGTCCCTTTGGAAGCTACCGAAAGGGTGAATAGCAGGAACAAATTAAGCTCCCCTTGGGGAAGGCCTGGAACCATGCTGAAGCTGTGCATCACTGTGGTTAAACATTTGTGATTATTTGGTTGGTCTGCAGGCTGTCAGTTGACCTCTGAAGGGACATGAATTCTCTTAGCTCCTTTTCTGAGGTGTTCTTATCTAGCACTTCTCTGTCTCTTTTCTGTTCAGATCCCTGTTTTTGAGAGGAAACAGTTGCATGACCAGTCTTTGAAACCAGCCTGTGGTGTGGCTGTGCTTCTCAGCCTATCGTGCGGGATCCCGGTGCCCCCACCCCCTTTTTTAAAAAAACGTTTGTTGCTTTCTAGGGCTCCATTTACAGGGATCACAGATTTCTCAGTAACGAAGAACAAAATCATTCAGCTTTGCCTGGACCTGACAACTACCGTCCAGAAGGTCAGTACGTCACTGTTGCTTTTTAACACTGTTTCCTCCCTCTGCCCTGTTCTCTTCTTCAGAGGACTCACATGCTTTTCGCTTTTCTGCCCCTCGCCATTTTTTCCCCATCCCAACTGGGGAGAGAGGAAAGGCTTTTAGTTAGATGCATTGTACAGATGGTTTCTAGAAAGTGACCAGTGGCCTTTACATCGAAGATTACCTTCTTTTGTTTTAAAATAGTTGAGCTAATAGGCCTGTACTTTCTCTAAACTGTTCGAGCACTTAGTTTTTTTAAATAGAAACTCTGGAGGAACTACGTGACATAAAGTTAAGGAATGCTAAGGAGGGAAGGAGCATGAGAAGGATTGAGGTGGAATTCAGGTTTAGGTATGGGGCTGGAGTGACCCTCCGTGAGAAGGTGACTCTTGTCTGGAGGGAATGGGCTTCTTAACGTCGTCTTGGGGTGTTTTTCTGGTAGTCACAGAAGTGTTGATTGTTATGAACTGATGGTAGAAAAAAATCTCTGCATGGGAGGTACAGATCCTGAGCTGTTCACGTCAGGAGAAGGCTGCCCGCCAAGCATCCTCATCACACTTGCCCCTTCTTTGGGCCTCACACCGCCTGGCACATGAGAAGTGGTGATTTTTAAATGTGTGTTTAAACAAATGAGACAATGCTTTTGACAAATCAGCTGATGAGGCTTTGTCACTTGTCGGAAGAAGTTTAACCCAAACTTAGGGGACACAAGGGGTATTGTTTTTGTTTTCCCTTTGGTGCTCATTGAACATGTGCTTCAGAGACAGATAGCCACAGGTTCAAATCCTACCTCTACCACTAATTAGCCCTGGGACCTTGGACAAGTCACTTAAAACTTAGGAACCTTAATTTTTTTGTCTGTAAAATGGGAATACTAATATTTACCTTACCAGATGATTTGGCAGGATTTATAGAAGTTATTACTGAATAAGAAAAAAAGAAAAAAAGTATAATATAATGACAAATGGTGAACCCCCCCAATATGGAAGTGTATGTATATATGTATTTATAATACACATTCAAAAGCCTGTGTATGAAGGAGTAAGTACAGTACGCAATTTGGAAGAAAAGTTGGGTTTACTTTGGCAGGGAGAGAAGTGGGGATGGAGCATAGGAGCCAAGCCCCCTCCACCCCAGGAAGGAAAAGAAGCACTTCTTTCATTTACAAAGAATATTATGGGACCACATGTATGTATTTGTGTAAAATTGGATATAGAGAAATAATGTAAAATATTTTATTTTAAAATAATAATATCTACCTCAAAAGATTGCTATGAAGATTAAATGAGATGTAATATATGTAAAGCACAATGCCCACAAGAAATAAGAGCATATAGTAGGAAATATAAAAAATCACGCCTTGTACTGGTTTTCTGGAAACAAATTTGATGGTTTAAGGAGAGGAAGTTGGCAAGTATGTTGCTCTTTTCTTTCTGTTGTTGGTTTTTGTTGTTGTTGTTTATTTAAATTTGAACGATTTTTAAAGATCGAGACTGGCAAAATATGAATATATATGGGAATATCATTTTATGGACTTAGATTGAGAAAGATGTTTAGCTCTTGTGAACATACGTTGTCTTTAGTGATTAGAGAACACAGGTGCCTTGGCAAGTGGACTGTTCGTGTGCACACAGATTAGAAATAACAAACTTGATGAATGAGCCGAACGCCTTTTTCTATGTGCCGTGTGATGGCAGCCACAAGACTGAACGAGCCAGGAGACTTCACACTCTCTTCCAGCGAGGGGACGTACAGTTTTCTTCAAAACTTCTTGGCAGAAGGTCTCTTGACTTTTCTGGAAGAAACCCGTCTTTTCCATTTATTCCTTTTCTCTGGGAAATTGAAGGAATGAAAGTTGTGTCCTTCTTTTCCTGTGACAAGGAACATGTTCTCCTTGGGTCTTTATTCCTTTCGTCTCCGTCTGTGAGGACAGCATTTGCTTGGCCTTCTGCTCCTTTCTCTCGTCCATGTGTTGCCGTCCGCCCTCCTCTTTCTTGTCACGTTGTCTGCATCCTTCTGTTGAAGGATGATGTGTCCGTCTCCTGATCTGAAGGGTGAAGAGTTGCTGCTTTTTCCCCTGTGAGGAGCCTGCACCATTCTTGTAAGCGTGCCTCAGCTGCTGTCCCACGCCAAGTCCACGGATAGAGCTCCCGTCCAGTTTTTAAGCTCTACCGTCGGACGAAGGAAACTGGGGTGGGAAGGCGTTGGGCTCTGTACCTTCAGTGTGTCCTCGTGAAGTTGTGATGACATGAAAAGTGCAGTCACAGTGGTGAGAGATGAAATGGCAGGGGCAGGCACCAGAGTTCCACTGGGGGAAAACAGGGGGGAATGAGCAATAGAAAGCCCAGGAGGACTGAACAGAAAGTGAAGTGGCCACGGAAGCAGAGGAAGAAGCCCTGAGAACATTTATTGAGTGCTGGTTGTGTCTCAGGTGCATGCGACATCTTTGACACCTGTTACCGTGTTGACTTCTCGGCAGATCTCGGAGCTGGGGTTTATCATGCCCGCTTTACAGAGGAAGAGACACAGCCCGGAGAGGGTGACAGGTTGCTGAAGGTAGAATGAGGAAGAGCCGTGGAGGGAAGGGGCATCCGATGGTGGCCCCGGCGGGGTCCCTGCCAGGCAGGCTGGTCTGCTGATCTGGGTGACCAAGGAATGTGACAGAGGTCAGCCCCACTGTCTGGCTCCTGAGGGGTGACTCGGTTCCAGAACTTCTTTTTCCCATTCCGTTGCCTTTATGCCAAACAACATGAAGTCATGCCTGCAGCTGCTTCCTCCCAGTAGGAACGGGTGTGGGAACCCACGTTCATGGTGGCGGAAGGTAAAAAGGGAGCTCTTTCACATGCTGACTGGAACAATTTTGGGAGGCAGGAGAGCCCCTCTCATGCCTTGGTTCCAATGCTGCAGGGAGCCCATTTTCTTGGCGGCTTCTTGGATCTGTCAGGGAGTCAAGTCTCAGGAACCATGAGGGCCCACAGCCATCTCGAATCGTGGGCCCTGGTGTATTGAGAGGAGCTCTCTGTCTGCGGGTGATTATCTCATGAGGGTGACAGGGCTCACATCATTTTGGGATTTGTAATGAAAAGTCATAAACACATATTATTAGTTTTATTTCTAGCACAAGACCGCATACGTATTCTGTTTGCTAAAATTGATATTTATTTAATAATTCTGTCTTTCTGATGGTTTTAATAGAGGTTGACTCGTCATGGTAGTTGATGGTTTAGTTCTGTGCACAAGAAGGAGAAGAAGCAGCACATTTTTAAGCTATGATTATTCTATTTTACGGAAGTTGCTCCTGTAGTTTGAGTTTATATCAGATTCATGCATGTAAAAATACATTTCTAAATTTCTTTTTTTAAGTGTGTTCTTACTTGGCTGCTCTTTTCCTGAGAATCAGTGTAAATTTTGGGAGCAGTGGAATATTATTGTTTTCCCACATTTTTTAATCTAGTAGAGAATTTTTTTTAGGAAGACACTGAAAATCTGATTACAAAATCCTATAGGGTAGAATATCGTACATTTCTAACCCGACCCCCACCCCCGCAATGGTAGTAGAAAAATGACCTCAAATGACTTTTGATTGAAGTGAAAATCTGTGACAATTCCAACAGAGTTGATTAATATCTTTCATGTACATGAAATAATTAGGATGTCCTAGTTTGGGATCAGACTTAATGATGCAAAATAAAGTCTAAAGAATCTAGTCCCCTTTTTTTTCTGCATACTCTGCCACGTAGATGGGAAACCTCCGCTGTAGACCAGTTCTAGAAGGTTAACTGTGAGAGTTGGACGTCGGTGGCTTCACTGTGACCACTTTTAGACAGGACAATGGTGACTCCTATAATCAGCCAACTGGGTTCGTACAGTTCTGAGTCTTTTGTTCTTAAGCTGAGTAAATAATGCTTTGCATTCCAGCCCTTTATTTAATGTCATCAGTAGCATACCTCAAGACCACTTTTTTGGCAGCGTGTTAATGAATGTTTTGTTGAACCTTTTTCATTTATTAAGGACTGAGATATCTGATTTAATCTCAGTGGTGCTTAAAATAAACTTCTGTGGCTACGTTTACTGAAGCCCTTATTTGAAAGCTATTCTTATAGGCAGGCCCAGAGCTAAAAGATTCCTGGCTTGTTGGCCAAGGGCTGGCTGAGCGCGGGGTCATGTTTGGGAGCCATTGTCAGGTTTCTTGGACTTGACTTCTGGCTTACTACTCTCTGCCCTGTCTAGATGGTCGGTGGATTTCAGTTCAGTTATTTTTCATAGGTTTTCTGATTAAATAATTGGTCAAATGCGTTCCTTGGATGATAAGCTCCTTCGGTCAGGAGAAACCAGAGCCTTGGGAGGAGTTGGAGTTGGCCCCGCTCTGTACCCTCTGTATTCAGTGCAGGACTCCTTGGGCTGCAGGGCAAGGAAGGACCCTCTTGGGCTCCAGGAAGTACCTATAGAGCTAAGCCAACAGTTTTTGGAAGTTTCTAGCTCTTACGGTTTTCTTTTTCTTTTTTCCTTCTTTAGGATTGCCTTGTAGCAGAAATGGAGGATAAAGTTTTAACCGTAGTAAGTATACCTTTTACAAGTTACTGTAAAATTCCTTTCCCCAAACCAGTGGGACTCAACATCAATTCAAGCAAAAACTCTGTGGCTAATTCCTTCAGGATATACTTTGAAATACTGGCTTTTTGGGAGTTGAGTCTATTAATTTAGGTCAAAAGGGAAGAATAAAAGTTATTTAATAACAAGAAGATGACTACTGTGAAAATTCCTGTGCTTGGGTAAATGGGGGTCCCTGTCTCCTCCGAACATTTCATTAGGTACAATTATACTTAAATTACTAGCTAGCCTGTTAATCAGGGGTACACTGATCTGTAGATTTCACTTGAGGAACATTTTGATTAAAAAAAAAAAATCCTTGGCAAAAACCTTATGATGGAGGAGGGGGGAATGTGCTGTGATTGTTTAAAGAGATTTTGTGACTATTCATCATCGCTTCCTCCCTTTGACATAAGCTGGCCTGTGCTCTTTTGATAAGGCCTTCCTCCCACTGATGTTGAGGAATTTAGCAATGAAACAGCTATAAATATATTTTCCATAAATAGGGAGGCTAAACAAATTGGGGGAATGTAGTAAGTGTCACTTCTTGGATTCTCCCCCTTGGAAAAAAAAATCCCTCTTTGGAATTTCCTGATTTCTTTGGTGGCTTAATTTTGAAAGGTTAGATGAATCTAACTGGAGGAAACCACCACACATAACCATGGTTATTTCTACACGGAGACCCCTTACTAAGGATCTTCGTGTCTCAAAAATTTTACCTTGTCAACCTTCGGGGTCAGAGAATGTGAGCCATCACTAGAAAGATCATACACCCTAAATGTGTAAAGCACAAATCTGTGTATCTCCTAGATGATACCAGGAGAAAATCTAGGTTGACCTTGTGTTTGCCAATGAATTTTTAGATACAACACCAAAGATAGAATCCATGAAAGATAAACTGATGAGGTAGATCTCCTTGAGATGGAACATTCTGCTCCATGAAATGCAGTGTTAAGAGGATGAAAAGACAAGACACAGACTGGGAACAAGTATTTTTAAAACACATATCAGATAAAGAACTTGTATCCAAAATATACAAAGAACTGTTAAAACTCAATAATAAGAAAATAAACCCAGTTAAAAAGTGGGCAAATTATCTGAACAGACGCCTCACCAAAGAAGATAGGCATTTGACAAATGAATATAGGGAACGGTGTTCAACGTCATGTTTCGTTAGGGAATTGCAAATTCAAACAATAGTGAGACAACACTACACACCTATTAGAATAACTGAAATCCAAAACATGACAACATCAAATGCTGGCAAGGATTGGAGAAGTAGGAGCTCTTGTTCATTGCTGGTGGGAATGCAGAATGGTACAGCCCCTTTGGAAGACACTGCAACAGTTTCTTACAAAACCACGCGTACTCTTACCCTGCGATCTAGCAGTTAGACCCTTGGGTATTTACCTGATCACAGAAACCTGTACAGAATGTGGTGGCAGCTTTATTCATAATTGCCAAAACCTGGAAGCAGCCAAGATGTCCTCCAGTAGATGACTGCATAATCTGGCACATCCAGACAATAGAATATTGTTCAGAATATTCAGAATATTCAGTATTATTCATAAAAAGAAAGGATCTATAAAGCTATGAAAAGATATGGAGGAAACTTAAATGCACCTTACCAAAGGAAGGAAGCCAATCTGAAAAGGCTACATGTTGTAAGATTCTAATTATTTGGTATTCTGGAAGAAGCCAAACCGCAGAGACAGTAAATCAGTGATTGCCAAGGGTTCATTGTGGGGAGGGTGAGAGAGGTGAAGCAGGGGGTTTTTAGGTAGTGAAACTAGTCTGTATGGTACAGCAGTGGTAGATACATGACATTAGGCGTTTGTTGAAGCCTGTAGAACTGTACACCACAAAAAGTGAACCCTAATGGAAACTGTGGACTTTCTGTTGATAATAAGGTACCAGTTTTGGTTCCTTGGTTGTAACAGATGTGCCACACTAACGCAAAATGTTTTTTATATCTTGTTCTTATTCGCCGTGTTATAGGTATTATTGGAAATTGTGTTGGGGTGGGGAAGGAAGTCTAGAGAAACTCTGTACTTTATGCTCAGTTTTTCTGTAAACCCAAAATTACTTTAAAAATAAAATCTATTAAAAAAAAGCAGTTAGAGACAAAAAAATTTTTTTTTAACCTTGTGAGTGTTTGATATGCACCGAATGTGAGTGATCGCTAAGACACTGTGCAGACGGCTGGGAAGAGGTGATTCTCTTCGACTGCCAAACGGGGGTTTCTGTACAGCGTCTGCTCTTCAGTGGCCGTAATTCTTGGAAGAGCTGCACTCTTTAAACAAAGCCCATTTCCAGTGATTGCAAATATGAAGCCCAAATCCCTTGGCTTCATGGAGTAGCATTATTAAAATGATTGCTGACCGGAGCTGAAGATTGTAGGGAAGTGCCTATCTTTAAAATTCAGCTTGAGATAAACTTGGTTAATGATTGAACCTTTTCTATTTGCCTCTCCCAACCTTGAGGTCAAGGTTTTAAATGGTATCTGTGACAAAACAATACGATCTACTACGGATCCTGTTATGAGCCAGTGTGCGTGTCTGGAGGAGGTTCACTTGCCGGACGTTAAACCTGGGGAAGGCCTGGTAAGAATTCTAGAAAGACTTGTTTTCTTTTAAAGATTTCATTTATTTATTTGGAAGAGAGAGAGAGAGATTGAGAGAATGAGTGGGGGGAGGGGCAAAGAGAGAAGCAGAGCCCCTGCAGAGCAGGGAGCCTGATGTGGGACTCGATACCAGGTCCCGGGATCATGACCTGAGCCGAAGGCAGACACTTAACTGACTGAGCCACCCAAGTGCCCGAAACACTTGTTTTCTTTTCAAACAATAACATATTTTAATTTATTAAAGTTTTTTTTTCCTGATTCCTTATTGCTTTACTATGATTCTGAATAGAATTAAATTAGATTGTCTTCCATTATGTAGTTAGGAATTTGCCATCTCGAGCTGCTGATATGTTTTATGTCTTCAAAGTATAAAAATAAATACAGTTTTTGAACTGTGTTCTCATATCTTGAAGGAATTGTCTTAACAGTTTTATTTTAAGACTCAGCCATGTAAGGAGATATAAAACATTTACACAAAGGAAAGATGGTCTCTGGGTACAAAACAGCATCTGCTCTGAAAGTTTATATTAGCACTTAGGATGAATGTGAGAAGAGATGGAGGAACGGCATGATTTCTTTAAAAAGAGTTCAGAGCTGGGTGAGCCCTGTACTGACAGGCCCTGAGCATACAGACAGGTAGCTTCCTGGCTTCCAGCATCTGTGCCTCAATACCTGGATCTGCCGGTACCTCGCCTGCCTAGGGCGTGATTCATTTGCTGAGATTGAAGCGGAGAAACTGTGAGGCCCCTTGAGCTTGAGAGAGCTGGGTTTCCTCATCTGACGGACGCTAACGGTATCATTACTGCCTCACAGAGGTGTCGAGAGTATTAAAGTAGACGAGGAGTGTAGGGCCTCAGCGGCTGGGGGCTGGGTAGGTACTGGTGCTGGCCCTGAGGAGGAGGAGGAGGAGGAGGAGGAAGGCCCAGTGGGTAGGTAGCTGTGGGGACACACGAAGGTAGCCTCTGCTCTCGAGAAAACAAAAATCAACCGAATATCGGTTAAGTTCAGCCTTAGTACGTAGAAATACACGTGTTGAGACGTCTCGGCTTCAGAGTAAATGATGGATTATGGTAGATTAAGCAGGGAAGACTTCTGGAGGTGAGTTTATAGTTATGGCTCAAAGTTAAGGCAGAGAAATGCCCCAAGTGGGCAGAAGTGGACTTGCTGTTTCAGATGGTAAAGTTATATGAGCAAATGCTTTGGAAGGAGGAGCCCCATAGGTCGGGACAAGCAGATTCCTCTGTGAATGAAAGAAACAGGAAAGGAGAGGAATGGGGAGATCCTTGAAGGTGTTAGCATTTGATGAGAGTCTCATTACAGAGAGGTGTAGGTTGCTGACCAGGGCAAGTTCCGGGTCAAAATGATTTCTGAGGAAGATCTATGTTACTGCAAATTTGATACCAGAGCAAGCAACTACTCTTTGCCCAGTCGACTTTTTGCTCTTTTCCCCCCATCTTATAAAAGTTTAATGAAAATTTTTTATATGTGATACATCAAACAGTGGAAATGTTTCCTCCACGGTATGGTATTCACCTGTGAGTTTGTCTTTACGCTTCCCTTAAGATGGAGGGGTGCCTGTTTCTGACGTACGCCCTATGTTGTGTTGCTTAATAATCTTTGCTCATATATCCTGGTCTGGGTTGTTAGTGGCTTAAACAAGTCACCCACGATGACTGCTGATCCCCCATTTGTCTGAATATATTGTGTCACCAGGCAAAGAGATGGTCAGGGGAGAACGGTCCTTGTTTGAAATGCCTCATTCATTCCGCAGGTCTGAGAAGGTATCTTCTGAGTCCCCAGAGTTATGGCAAAATTCTCTGTGCCTGGTACACAAATTATAATACCAGAGAGATCTGGCTCCTGATTTCTTTCATGAGTGTTTCTCTTTGTTAGCTCCCCGTCACTGCTCCTTGGCTCTGGTTTCCCAGTGTTTCAGGAGGCTTAGAAATAAATGAGCGTTGTTCTGAAGGGATTGCCTTTAATGTTTTATAAGATGAAGTCTCCCTGGCGGCTATGTTTGTAAATGTTGGAGTAATGAGTTAATATGTTTGTGACTCACTCTAGGGCATGTACATCAAATCAACCTATGATGGATTGCACGTGATTACTGGAACCACAGAGAACGTAAGTGCGCCTATCCGTTAAATGTAAAAGCTATTATGTGTTTAAACAAATGTGACACACAGTCCTTATACTTTTCGTTCAAACGTGTGCATCGTATTTTATTATCTGCAGTGAGAGCGTGGGTGCTGTTTTGTTTATTTCTGTTGCTAGCATGCTGCTTATCACCAGCTGTTGGAAATTTATTATTTAAATTGTCTTTTATTGCTGTTGTTCACATACCTTGCCCAGTTTTTACCCCCCACCCTTGTTAATTATTCCTTTTGCACCCTGGAAGTGTTAAACCATAAGTCTAAAAACAATGATCTCATTGTGGTTGAAAAAGTACTTTTACAAGAACTGGAATTAGTAGCCATATGTGTAAAATACAGTTTTTTGTTGTTGTTTAATGGAATTTAGATGTATCACCAAAGCAGCTATTTTGGGATTTTTACACAATGTAGATTCTTTTTATAGAGTTGTGTTTTGTCATATTTGGCATGATATTGAAATTTAGTTTTTTTTTTTTCTCCCCTGATCTTTTAAATAGAAAAAGCAGGGCTGCTTCTACTGTGAGAGTCTTTGTGCACTGTTAACTTCCTTTTGGAAATGCTGCTCCCTGAAAGGTTTTTCTTGAGCCCCTCAAACATTTTGAATTTGTAAAAAGTAGAGCTAATTGAATGCTTTCTTTTTGCAACCTACAATATGGCTAGTTTTTGATGACACTGATATGAAGCTAAAAATGTTTGAATAGCTTCCTGGATCTGTATGAAAGAAGCATGTGTCTGTGGAACTAATCTGCTATTTAATCAACTAAGACCAGAGGAAATAATTCCTAAAAATAGAAGAAATTTGGTAACTCCTTCTCTAATCTGGTGGAAATACGTGTTGAATTTTAAACTTGAGCTGCTGGGTCTTTTGGTAAAATAAAATGGCATGATCTTTGATGAGGGCTTGTGACACAAGCTTGATTTTTGTAGCAAGAAAGAAATGGCGTTGCTGAAGGCAGTCAGTGAATTTTAAATATGGTGTGCGGTTCTGGCCGAGGAATGAGTGGAAGATGGTGGTGTCTTTAAGACTCCTTCGTCAGGCTACCGTGAAAATGCACTGAGAAACGATAGGAATTTTTACAGCACATCACCTGATAGGCAATAACTGCACGGGAGGTTCTGCTTTTAGGTCAAGGATGGTGCAGAAGAGAAAACACGTAACTCATTACGCGGTTCATCCCTCATTCTTGTCAGATTCTTGAGCATATTTCAGCTCAAGCAGAACGAGGACCACTCAGTGCATTGTTTGGGAGTTGGTTGGATTCAGAGGGACGGTGAAGGTCATTTCAGGTTTTAAAGAGTGGAAGTTTTGAGTCCAGCAATTTAGTAGATTACATTGTTTAACCGCCAGACCTGTGTGGTTGCAGACTCTCACTGGTCTTCTTAAAGCAGTTTTCATCTTGGATAAGCATATAGTTCACCATCCTGTTACTACTAGAAGGCACACAGATTTCTCCTCCTCAAACCAGCCCCCATCCTTTGGTTTTAAGGATGAGAGTTGAATGAGAGATGAAACAAGCTGCTTTTGAATGAAGTGAAATGTCAAATGCAAGGATACATCTCCTAGCATTCCTACCAGACTCAATAAGACTGGATGAGAGGTTCGGGGTTTACCTGGATGTAGTTGATACCATGCAGGATGATACAGAAGCCATCCTAGGGACAGGTGGTTTCCATCTTGTTAAAGAGCAAAAAAGGGAGAACTTATCTTATTCCATCTGGCAATCCATTTGAGAATGCCCCTCATTCTTTTTGATCACTGAGCTTGTGTTCACCGAGTACCTGGAATGTGCTAAACACTTGCTAAATCTTACAGAGGGGGGGTGGGAAGTTAGGTAAGAGCGTACTTCTCAAGGGCTTAATCTGGGTATTTTACCCTAAATGCTGGATATTTTACACTTAAATGGCAGTAGAAAATGCCAGCTGTCAGCTCCGGGACAGCCTTCCAGCTAGCACTTCAGGTTGTTGTGACTTCCGAATCAGAATGTTGGTTAGTTAGTTATGTATGTATGTATGAATGAGAGAGTGTAAGCAGGGGGAGGGGCAGAGGGAGAGGGAGAAGGGAGAATCTCAAGCAGACTCCCCGCTGAGCTAGGAAGCTGATGCGGGGCGAGATCATGACCTGAGCCGAAATCAAGAGTCCATGAGGCACCCAGGTGCTCCCAGAATCAGAATGTTTTAATGGAAGCCTAGTGTGGTGGGTGGTAGTGGATGGAAATCACCCACTGTATTCCCTATATTTATCTTGGACTCCAGGCTGAAGCAATGATAGCAGGTCATCTTAGGCCTCCAATCCATTCTGGGGGGAGGTTACCTGAGAAGTCAGGATCATTCCAAGGTCAGCCTAACAGTATCTAGTGATTCTCTATGACTTCTTTTTTGATGTTGTTCAACACCTTGACAGGATCCCATCCATACTTCTATTCCCCACCTCTGAGATAATGTGGGAATTAGATTAGCCTCTAAAGAATGGACGCATTCTTCTCCAGGTCATCACCCTTCTGCAGAAAACCAGAACAAGCATCATTTTTCAGTAGTCTGGCTCATGGTGAAGATAGGCAAGTCACTGCCCCAGGAAGAATTTTGGTATCAAGCTGTCTCTTTACCAGTGTTCTGCCAAACACATCTCTTAATCACCTGGTAGGACATTTGAGAAATGAATGCTTGAGGATTCCTAAGAAGGAAAGTCAATTCAGGACATTTAGGCTTGGTTTTTAAGATTGCACATCCATAAACAAGAACTTCTTATAGCCTCAGGGTCATCTTTTATAAAGTGAAGCTTACCTTAAATGAATCCCCAGCCAGGAAGATTATCTGGGCTGGACTGATTCTGATCGGAGTTACCAGAATTGGTCTGTAGCTGTGGGTTAAGCATCTGATGCGCAGGGGCAAAAAGGAGCCTAGACACATTCGATTTTTTTCTTTAAGTGCCTCAAGAGAAAGAGATTTGAGGTAGACCATTTCCCTGAGGATGAGTTACCCACAGTGCAGGTCTATCAGGGAAGACACCCCTGGTTGTTATAGTGGCAGGTTAAATGTTTTGAAAAGTAACTCTCACAGTTAACCTGCACCTTGCACTGGGTCTAGATGCATCAGAGGGACTGTTTCTACAGTTTAATGTTGCTTGCTCATTTCTGGTTGAGCCTATCCCAACAGTTGAGCGAGAAGATTCAGCCAAGAATGTCTTGGGTTTGGTTCCTGCCCTCCTGTGTTCAGGGGTGCTGTTTTTTTTTTTTAAAAATAACTATAAGTATGTCTGAAGACTCAGCCAGTTACATAAGTTACATAAGTAACTGGCTGAATAAAATAAAATACTCCAGCCTAGATAACAGATTGTAATTTGAAATCAAGGGTTTATCCTTTTCTTCGCTTTTGCTCATAGGAAATACCTTAAACGTAGAGAGTGCTAGTTTCATTAATTGAACAGAATATTGTGTACAAAATTTTGACAGATAGATTATATCTAGATATTTATATGCACACATGTGGAGAGAGAGCTATATATATATATATATATATTTATATATGTGCAGATTTGTAGCAAAGTATTATTTGGGGGAATCAGAATCGGGACTTCTGATACTGAAAACACATTTCATTTTCAATTCAACCTGAAAATGACAAAAATTTAAATTCATTTTCTCTAAAGAAGTACATTTTCTATTGTCACCATCTTTCTATGCTAATAGCATTGTGATAATTCGTAAAACAAGGTTGAGTAGATGAGATTTCGTTTTAATAATTGCTTAAAAGGAGATAGGATGACATTGTTACAGTGATGGTCTTTATGTGTTAAGCAGTTGGTCAGCTTTTACAAGATTAATTATTAATAGGGATCTACATAAGGTATTTTTTAGATGAACCAAAGGGTTTTTTTTTAATCAGTTCATTGTGTCAACAGCGTGTCCCGCTTTTCCTGATGGGTTAGATGGACCCGGCTATTGTAACTGACAGGTGGTCTGGAACAGCCGACCATTCATCAAGTAGGGAACGTGAGTGCCCACCCCCATGCCAGGCTCTGCAGACTGTGTCGTCCTGGGATCGTCTCATAAGTGCACCGTGTAATAGTTTTTGAGAAAATTATATTTCCATTGCTTGTTGTCTGCAGAAGAAAGAAGGAGGAAGAAATAGAAGATTTAAAAAATAAGACTGGTCTCTGTGTTTGTTCCTAATAGTCTCCTGCAGATAGATCTCAGAAGATTCATGCTGGTGATGAAGTCATTCAGGTTAATCAGCAAACTGTGGTGAGTTTGTTCGTTGAGACTTAAGACGTTTAATATTCCCCTCTAGAACTTTTAACTAAATCCAAAGTCATTTTGCTTGAATTTTTTAAATTTGCGATTTCTAGCCAATTTTCCATAGTTTTAGGTAGTGCTAAGATAAACATACTGGTATCTGCTTATTTGCTCACAAATGATTTCCTTGAAATAAATTCATAGATTTGATTTTTGATAATTCACAAGTGAGTCCCTTCTCATTTTCTTTCTCTGAAGGTGGGATGGCAACTAAAAAATCTGGTGAGAAAATTAAGAGAGAATCCTACAGGAGTCGTATTACTGCTTAAGAAGCGCCCCACGGGTTCTTTCAACTTTACCCCTGCTCCCCTGAAAAACCTCCGGTGGAGACCGCCCCTGGTGCAGGTATCCGTTATTGGTTGTAAACCCTTCTCTGCCAGCCACTCATTAACCATGTCGAGGATGGGATTTGTCTCCAGAAAGAACAGTTACCATCTGAAGGTGATTGGTTTCAGGAGTTTGTGTATGCAGAATCATTCTCTAGTTCTACTTCAGTGAAAATACACATTGTAGATTTTGCACTGGCCACGTGTGACTATTTAAATAATTAAAATGAAAAGTCCAGTTCCTCTGCCTCATTAGCCACATTCCAGAGGCTTGGTGGCCTCATGTGGCCAGTGGCTATCGTCATCACTGCAGAAAGTTCCTTCTGGTCCTTTTCCCCTCTCCTGTCAAACACATCGGACGGTACCCAGTTTGAGCACTAACCGTGGAGAGACTAACCCCTGCCTTGGCAGGTGAAGTCCTGCCAAGGCAGGAGTAGGGACGGTGGGAATAATCCACACAGTGGGGAGTGGTATCACCGCATTGTTTAGTTCAGACCTGGCAGCCTTGGGTGATAATCAAAAGCAGACCGACTTACAGTATCGTACTGTATAGTATTGTATAATTCTGTACGAACAGTACACTCCTTTATTGCCTACACCTGGGTGGAGTGTGCTCAGGGACCAAACCCCCTCCTGATACCATGGGTCCTTAGTGTTTATTTCTTAAATCATGAATAAAAAGCAATGACATCTTAATACCCTTTTTAAGATTGAGATTGCAATTTATATGAAACTGTCTGCCACATTACTGTTCATCTTCGAATGGAAGGAATGGTAGCCATCTCAGGCTATCAATTTGGACCCGTGGTGATGCATAGAGCATTGGAAATACACCTACATGTGTACCTTAATGGGGGGAGGGTTAAAATAAATAACAGGATATGGAGTAAGGAGGGGCACATAATTAAAATCACTTCTTAAATAATAACTGATTGACACATGATTTAGAAGTCAATTCCTATAAATAATCATCTCTTAAATAATAACAATATCAATCACACTCCAACTGTGATGGGGCAAGTCCAGTGAAAGACTCATGTTAAGAGGTCATTTGGAAGAAGCATGAAAAAGACTCATGGAGCAGCACAGCATAGTGGTTGGGCGGGGGGCTTGGAGTTAAACTTTTCCAGTTCAAATCCCAGCTCTGCCACTTATTAGTTATGGGGCCTCTGATAAAGTATTTAATCTTTCTAAACCTCACTCCTAATTATTAGTATTTACTGTGAGAGAAGGCTGGGCTCCTGGGTGGCTCGGTTGGTTAAGCATCTGCCTTTGGCTTAGGTCATTATCCCAGGGTCCTGGGATCGAACCCCGCATTGGGCTCTCTGCTCAGTGGGGAGTCTACTTCTCTCTCTCCTCCTGCTTTTCCCCCTGCTTGGGCTCTCTCTCTCTCTCACATGCACACACACACACTCTCTCTCTCTCTCTCAAATAGATAAATAAAATCTTAAAAGTAAAGGCTTTGGGCCAAGGGATGAGGAAGGCAAGCAAGGCAGGAGTGAAATGTGACTGTGAACCTGGCTGGTGATACCAGTGACAGAAATTAGAGAGTCAGGGACGGCAGAGACGGTGGGTCTTTTGAGCATCATTGAGTTTGAAGTGAGGGAGGAAGATTCAGTGGCTGTGTTGTTCAGGTGGTAAGTGAAAGTTATTTTTAAGTACAGGCTAGAGTTAGTCCCTTCACCTCTGGAAATTCACTTAAGAAGGACATGCTTCCCTCCTCTCTGGCTTTGTCCACCTTCCTGCCAAGTCCCACTAACTGTGTAGTTTTGGGGAGCAGATGATGGTGAGGGAGGAGACACCTCGTTTTGCTTCTGACCAAGGGAGAGAACCACCATCACAACTGAGAGGCCATTTTTTTAGCTTAGCTACCAAGTGTTCTCACGATGCATCCAGGATATTTTCAGAATATAAACTCTGGAGCACCAACACTGCCTGGGCATTGCTGTGTGTCATTCTCCAGGCTTCAAGCCTGGGCACCCACCTCTTGTGGGAGGGAGCTTCTTTCCTTCTTGTCAACACCATTAATGTGGCCTGTCCCTGAGAAGGTGCCACCATCCTGGTGAACGGGAGATCTTTTACAGCCGCCATCATCAGTGTTGGAGTCTTTGGAGAGCGCTTACTCTGTGCCAGTGCCGTACTTTACTTCTGTTAGCACTTGCGGAGGGCCTCCCTCCCGGCCCCGTGTTTTCAGACATTGTTCAAGGTTGGTGGATTGAGGTGTTGGTCAGTTCCGTACTGAGTAGAGTGGACTGTGTTAGTGGCCGACATCCAGGTTGTAGGGATGATGTCACGGGAGACTAAAGACTAAGCCCCCATTTCTCTTGAGCCTGGGGGTCTCCCCCTAAAACAGTACATTCCAGTCCTTAAAATCTAGCTCATGGTCTCATTTCGGGGGGGCCTTTGGGGTCTTTGATCACCATCCAGGCTGGATAGGGTTTGAGGTGCCAGGGGCCAGGCACAGTTCTCATGTCCCCCCCCCCACCCCCAACTGGCCATCACCAGACGTCTCCATGCCTCAACTCTGGGATTTCCTCACGATTCCTTTACCCACCAGAAAGTGTGTCATCATTGTTCGTCTATAGAAGAGATAAGATTTGAAGGTCTCACACAAGATTTTTAAAAATAGATCCTTTGAGCCCAATAACATAATTAAGCTGTAAGGACTTTAAACTTTTAAAGTTAACTTGTATGGATGTGTGTATATATAATACTAAATTAAATAGCATAAGGTTGTGTACTTACTATGTGACAAGCAGTGTGCTAAGCCTGTGACATGTGTCACTTAATTCACCCTTCGTGGGTGCTCTTCTTGTCCCCACTTATGCCCATCTTATAGATGAGGCACAGAGAAGTTAAGTGGTTTGCTCAGAGATACACAGCTAATGAGAGCTATAGCCAGGCTAGCCCCGGGACGGAGTCCCAAGCCCATGCTCCTAGTCCATGATGGCATCGTTAGTGACTTGTACGAACTAACTCGTTCAGTCTGCGCTGTAGCCCTATCAAGAGGTACTATCAGGATGGCTGTTTTTTGAGGATGAAACTGAGGGACGGGTATTTCAGTGATTTGCTCAGAGCTAGAATTCTAACCTGGCTCCCAAGCCTCTACCTTTTTTTTAAAGATTTATTTACTTGAGAGAGAGTGCACAGGCACACACAGGTGAGTGGGGAAGAGGGGCAGAGGGAGAGAATCTTTCAAGCAGACTCCATGCTGAGCACAGAGCCTGATGAGGGGCTCGATCCCACAACCCATGCGATCATGATTTGAGCCGAAACCAAGAGTCAGACACCCAACTGACTGAGCCACCCAGGCGCCTTCCACCCCCTACCCCCAAGCCTCTACTTCTTCCTGTGCATCTAGTTTTCTGGAACTCCCAATTAATTCTGAGTGTCTCAAAGACTACAAACTGAATTGTTGCTAATAGTTGTAAACACACAAATGACCTCGGCCCTCAGTGTTGGCTTTGGGGAAGGAGAGTTGCCCACGAATAATCTCACCTCTACCCTTTGCACTGGCTTCCATTTCAGACCTCACCTCCACCCACGACAACCCAGTCCCCTGAAAGCACTATGGATACCTCGCTGAAGAAGGAGAAGCCAGCCATCCTGGATCTTTATATCCCTCCTCCACCAGCCGTTCCCTACTCCCCCCGGTACGTCAGTGTCCGTTCATAGTGTACATGCCTGTCTGCTGTGCGTGAAGATTCTGAGTGGAGGTGTGAAAGCCAGGAGGATTTCGAGGGCAGGAGTTGATGAACTCCAGGGTGACAGGGCTGAGTCTTGACATTGCAGTTGTTTTAAAAAGTGTCATCCTGGGAGTAGTAGGGGTGGGAGGAATGGGTGGAGGGGGTCACAAGGTCCAGACTTCCAGTTACAAGATAAAGAAGTTGTGGGATGTCATGTACAGCACGGTGATTATAGTTAACAATATTGTATTTTATAGTTGCAAGTTGCAGGGAGAGATTTTAAAAGTTCTCATCACAAGAATAAAAGAATTTGTAACTGTGAGGTGATGGATGTTAACTAGACTTTTTGCGGTGATCATTTTGCAATATATACACATACCAAGTCATTATGTTGTATACCTAAAACAAATACAGTGTTATATGCCAATTATATCTCACTAAAACTGGGGTGGGGGGACATGTGTGATCCTTTAGGGGGAAGTGTAGGGATGGATCTAGGTTTCATGGGTCTTGAAACTATGTAGTTTGGTGGGGAGGGGACTCTACGTAAAGAAAGCATGTGCTCTTGGGAATGCATTGTTTTAGTTCCTCCCAGAACATCAGAAGGGGGTGCTTGGGGGTCCCTGAAGCTGAAGTTTGATTCCACATAAGGTAAAAATCATCTCTGAGGAGGAAGATAATAAATTTTCTTATACGGCAGGTTAAAGTTACAGCTTTATTTTATGGGGAGAGTTGTGTTCTTCATAGGACTTGAAAAATGTGAATGGAGGTGTGATACTCTGTATTTGTGCATGCGTGTGTGTGTGTGTGTCTATTAGAAATTCTGATGGAATAAATTCTTAATTGGTACATGGTATAACGAGGCTAGTCATATTAGCTGTTCCGCAGGGGATTATTTAGGTGTGAAATATAGGCTTATTTATATCAGTTTACCCATTTACAGAGAATTTGGCTCATTTATTCGACATACATTTAGTGAGTGTGGGGCCTGAATCACCATCTTAAACAAAACAGATGCAGTTCTTACCCCCAGAGAACTGCCAGTGTCTTAGTCAACTATCCAAAAATAAGTTGAGAAAATACATCATTATGCTATGATATTTCGTAAGAAACAGTTCGGGCTGAACTTAACAGTGATACTTTACTTTATATTGGGAGTTTTTTGTTGGTTGTTTTTTGTTTCAAGCTGAGTATTTGATTCTGTCCTGTTTCTTCCCTGGGCACAAGGAAGAATGAACATCATTTTCCTCTCCCTGGCTTTGGGCTGCCCAGAACTTAGTACAGCACATAGAGAACTTACCTTAGCTGGTCAGAGGCGTCCTGGTTGGTAGATGGGACCCTTCCCTGTCTTCACAGACCAGAGTCATGTGGTCACAGGATCTTAAATGTGTTTAAAGTGACAAGTAGTTGCCTTTGCACACAGAGAACACAGTTTCACTGATGACCAGTGTGTGGGTTGTTCTGTAAGAAACCAGGAGGCCACTCCCAGACTCCCAACTCTGAATGTTCTTGTCTGGGTCTCAGTGAAGGGTCACAGAGCAGTGGCAGGAAAAAGGGTATCTACATAGTAGAGGGGAAAGGGAACTGGAGCTTTTAATCTACTCGGGGGAAGCACATGCGCACATAAGACATATGCGCACGTGCATACACACACACACCTACACACCATTAGTGAAGAATATCTTCTGAGGAATGAAACACGCAAATGGTGATGGAGAACGAGAGGTGAGTCTTGAGAGCTTTGTGAATGGGGAAGTTGTATGCCAGGTTTAAAAGTATAGAAGGAGATGGATTCATAGAAGGAAAAGGGGGCGCACAGGCAGGGGGTTCACTGGGAATACCAAGCAGGCAAAGCTGACCTTCAGATTGTTTTTGTACTCAGGTGATGTTGTAGTTTGTCTAGTAGTTTTTGCAATGATCACCTAAGAGAATTTTCTAAATGCAAAAAAATTTAACTAGCTGGTAACTTGGACTCAACTCAAATTAATTTTAAGTTTTATAAAAGCTGACATTTAGAAAGAATTAAGTTGGAGTCATTAATCCAACATTTGCCAGTTTCTGTACGGAGTTCAGAAAACAGACACTCTCCATGGGTATGATAAAGGCGCCTTTGTATTTTTTGACATAATTTTCAAACCTAACAACTCCATTACACATCCTGTCTTTGCTGGATCTTGGCCAAGATACTACTTGGGGCATCAGAAAAATGGCTCAATCATACCTTAACTTGTGATTTCTGTAATAAATAGGAGATTCAGATATAGAATAGAAGTACAGGGAACCAGAGCCGTCTTTTCAAAGCTATATTTATACTCTTTAAACATATCTGAAAAAAAAATGTCATTTTCTTTTATTTAGTAGGATCATGCTATTTACTCTTACCTAATAGGATTTCTGTGTATCGGAGGGGTAACAGAGATAAAAAACGAATGCTTTTTTACTCCAGTGGAAAGGAGGATTCAAATTTTCTTATGTGTGTTTGCTGGAGGAAGTCTGTCCTGTAATTCTTCTGTAGGAGAGGATCTTTGTAAGCAACTTAATTATTGCCCACTGTCTTCCAGGAATGAGAACGGGAGTTTTCTTTATGGAGGCCTCAGTAAATGTAAACAGCCATTGCCTGGTCCTAAGGGTTCCGAGTCGCCAAATTCCTTCCTGGACCAGGAGAGCCGAAGACGGAGATTTACCATTGCTGATTCTGATCAGTTGCCTGGGTATTCGGTGGAAACCAATATTCTGCCCACAAAAATGAGAGAGAAAACACCATCTTATGGTACATTTCTGAGTGTTTGTTTTGTTCTGCCATTTGTTTTTCCTTCCCTCCCCCACCCTCTTCCCTATTTGGAACTGTTGGATGAATTTGGCAGACTTCAAGGGTAATCTGAGGAAAACATAAACCTCAATGAAATTCTAAGTATGAGACCTTTATTCATCTCTCTAAAGCGAAGTCTTGTTGAATCATTACTCTCTGCCTGGCATCAAAGCCCAGTGGAGTGAGATCATGTTACAGTTTTAACTTGCAGCGCCTGGGTTTTGGCTTGGAGTGGCTTTGCTCTGTAGATACACAGACTTCAGGTCAGCCGGCCTCTGTCCTCATTGCTTGCCATGGAAATGGGATGCTTTAAAATACTTTTCTTAGTTTACAGTAATGTTATTACTTATGGTTAAGTGAGTGTGATATGGGGGAGTCTTAAGTTATAAACAAGTGGAAAGATTCTCTAAGGTCCAGAAACTCTTGTCAACTTGTCGCGTTCCTTCCCCTCCCTTTGAAGGCAAGCCCCGGCCTTTGTCCATGCCTGCGGATGGGAGCTGGATGGGGATAGTGGACCCTTTTGCCAGACCTCGAGGTCATGGGAGAAAGGGTAAGTTTAAGCAAACTAAAAATACACCAAACCGGAGTCAAAAGAGCCATGGCCCTTGTTTCAACCCTATTCCTATTGTGCTGTAATAACCAGATAGAGGACCCCAGCCTGAGACCTGTCTTCTCATCTGTAAAATCGGAGTTGCTGAATCTCTGAGGCCCTACCTGTTTCTGGAATGGCAGAATTATATTATCCTAGTTAGTGACTGAATCTCCTCATTAGCATCATGTGCTTTAAAAAGGTTGTGGGGGCACCTGGGTGGCTCAGTTGGTTAAGCCTCTGACTCTTCATTTCAGCTCAGGTCATGATCTCAGGGTTCTGGGATCGAGCCCTACATCAGGCTCCCTGTTCATCGGGGAGTGTGCTTCTTCCTTTCACTCTCCCTCTGCACGCTCTCTCTCTCTCAAATAAATAAATAAATAAAATCTTAAAAAAGAAAAGGAAGAAGAAAAAAGTTCTGGAGGCTCAACTTCCAAAGTGATCAACCCCTCACATCTCCCTGGGCCTTGGTAAAGTTCCTCCCTTAGGAACCCAAATCACCTGGATTATAATAAAGTGGAAAAGGGAGAAGATGTCTGTGTAAGGTCCAGGATACCCTTAATTGGCATGTGAAAATCTGTGGAGCAGTCAGCAGGTGGCAGGGCTGTCCTTTGTTTAGATTTAGAAGCATCAACATCTTCATTGCTAGTCTCTTAGGATTTTAATCCCCGATTTAGCCTTTTTATTTCCTTTTAGTATTGAGAGGTCGGAGTGGGAGGTGGGGAGTGTTAAGTCTGGAAGTGGAGACATACTTGACCTCCTATCTCACCATATTTCCATTGTAGGATCATTTTAGAATGAAAAGGTGTCTGTCTGCATGATGGGCACTTAAAAAAAAAAAAAAGCTTTCTTGAGAGAGGACTCACATACCATAAATCTGCTCACCCCATCAAAGTGTACAATTCAGAGGTTTTTAATACATTCATAGAGTTGTGTGTCCATCAGCACTGTCTAATTCCAGCGTATTTTATCACTTCAGAAAGAAACCCCTGCAGGCATTCATTCCTCATTGCCTCATCCTTCAGCTCCTGGCAACCACTAATCTACTTTTTGTCTCTCTGGATTTTTGTACTCTCAGTGTTTCCTATAAGTAGACTTACAATATGTGGTTCCTTGACGATGGGCACTTCTTAAAAGTAACTACCCCTTTGATTACAAAAGCAAAACAAGTACACTGAAAAACATCTAGAAGACTCGAGAAAATAAAACACCTGTAATCTGCTTTCCCAACCTAGAAATAATCACTCTGAATGTTTTTTGGTTTTTTCCAACTTAGAAAAAACTGTGCAAAATGGAAGAACTAGATGTTTGACAATACTGTGAAAAGTGACTGTTTTTCAACACATGTATGTTTTCTGTAATAACTGCATTAGGAATCCGTCTTAGGGCTGTAGCATGTACTTATTCAGGCTGCTGCTGAACGCTTAGTTTGTGCACTCTCCCCACCCCCCATTGTAAGTAGTGCTGCGCTAAGCATCTTGTACCTAGATCTTCATACACTTTTCGGAGTGGAATTTCTGGGTCGAAAGAATGCTACACGTTGCCAAAGTGCCCTGCATTTCAGGTTTCCATTCAGTTTCTTACCCCCCGCCCCCCACTCTCATCCCAGGAGCTGTCTACTGGCATTTAGGCTGGGACCGTTCTTCCTTGTTTGGAAATGTCTTAAGTGTGGCAGAACATGAAAATCTTTCAACCCTGTCCATTAAAGGTGAATAATAGTGCCTGCCCTTCATTGAGGGTGACAACCCGAGGCTCCCCCACCTTTTCAAATGCTCTTCAGGAGATGCTTCAGGGTAAGAACCACTGTTCTAGAAGCATGTGCTACATGCTACAGGCATTGAACAAGAACAGATGGGGAAGGAGTGATAGACACAGCTTTTTCGCTTTTTTTTTTTTAATTTCGAGTGAAATTATGAAAATTCTTACACTGGTAAAGAAGTGTGGGCTCCCTGATTCTGCTCTGCCCTTGTGTTGCCTCTCAGGTGTAAAAGCAGACTAACTGATGGACTCCTTCCATTTCTACTTTCTAAACATCCCGTGGGGTGGGCCTGGCTGTCTTGGAGGCTTCGCAGCCCACCCCTGGGAGGAGGGCAGGGTCAGGTGCCCACCTCGAGGGCATCAGAAGTCTCAGCAGGCTGCCGGCCCAGCTGGACAGGGCTGCTCAGTAGATGGTTATTTTAATGGACTTGTGGGCTTTGTCTGAAAACAGGTGAGGACGCCCTCTGCCGGTATTTCAGTAATGAGCGGATCCCTCCCATCATCGAAGAAAGCTCCTCTCCCCCGTACCGGTTCTCACGGCCCCCAGCGGAGAGGCAGCTGGTCCGCGGCGCAGACTACGTCCGGGGGAGCAGGTGCTACATCAGTTCGGATCTCCACAGCAGCGCCACGATTCCGTTCCAGGAGGAAGGGGCCCGAAAGAAGCCGGTCTCCTCGGCGGCCAAGTCCTCCTCTACAGAACCGTCCCTGCTGGTCAGCTGGTTTACTCGCCTCAAACTGTTGACTCACTGAGCCCCGCCCTCCCGGGACTCTTCCCCGTCTCCCGCTCGCAAGTGCCTTGCTTCCTCAGTTGACAACCTGTTCTGGTTTTCATCCACAGTATTATGTAGTGACCTTATGCAATTTCATTGTTTGTTTTCTTTTGGAAGTCGTAGACTGCCCTTCTCGGCATTTTGAAGTAATTGGATGGGAACAAATCCGGAGGATCTTAGGTGTTGCCTTGTGGAGGCCGAAGGAGAGAAATGAGTCCGCTTTTCTTGCTTCCTTATGGTCGGAACACGGAGACACGCTGTAAACTGGGGCCTGGACCAGGAATGTTGTGGCCATGATGAGGAACTGGGCCATCGTTGGTGCTGGGGGTGGGGCTGAAGTTGGTGTCCATTGTCACAGAGATGTGTTGGTTTGTGGTCCAGCTTCTTCACCTGAAAGAGCCAGTGGGGAAAACATTTTTGTTTTGATTTTTCAAGCTACATACCATATTTGTAAGTGTAGCAGCTTTGACTTTGAAATAACATGTGGCATGCATTTCATGCTGTTTCAAAGAAGTGGTTTAAGTAAGTGTAGGCCTGTTACACTTGGCTATTCCCTTTTCGTAACAATCTCAGTATGTAGGTCAGTTAATACAGAAACACATGAACACATTTAGATAGGGCTTATTACACACAGTGAAGTTTATGGTTATTTGTGAGGGGTGTCGTTGTTATATATTATTGTCTTTAAGGGAAAAGAAGCTATAAGATTTGCTGACAGCCAAAGTATCATTCAGAACAATGAAGCAACAATATTTAGGTTTACGAGAGATACATCAGTTTGCATTTTGACTGTGTAACGTCTGTCTTCCAGAAAAAAACAAAACAAAACAGGCAGTTCTTCAAAATTGTATATATTTTGCTAAATAGAAATCTCTTGGAAAGTCTCATGGTCACTAATTTTCAACTAGCATCAGGTATTTTGGAAAAGTGTGTCAGGATATTAACTCTTGTTAAAACTGAATGTATGATATTTTGTTAGAACAGAAAAGTACTATCTTGTTAATTTAAGTGTTTTAAATATAGTTGTATATTTTTCTTACTCGTAGTCACATGTAACTGGAATACTTCTGTTTTGTGTCCTACGTGAAGCTAATGAAAACGAGTGGTTCAAGGTGTTTTCTGATTTACAAGTGACCACCACGGCCGCTGCCACTGTGGGCCCTATTGTTAAAAAACAAAATAAACCCTCCCAAGCATTTTGGGATGTTATGGATCAGAAGTGGGGGTGTTGAGGAAGCATGGTACAGTAACATTACATCTGGGGACTTTTCCGAGGTATTTTCCTAGGCAGAGCTGGTATCCCCTACTCAACACCCTCCCCCGCCACACACACCCCTGAAATGGTTTACTTTGCTCAAGTGCCTGAAATTTAACGAATTAGAGCTTCCCTGGATTTAGTAAACATCTTCCTTTTTAAGCGAGGGGATTGAATTCAGTCAGGCTCTTCCCGTCAGCCTCTGAGGGAGCTGCAGCTGAAGGATAGAAGAGGCATGGAATGCGTGATTCATTGGGTGCTTCAAACACAATGTAAGGGCAGAGCACGGGGTGGGGAGGTCTGGTAACAGGGCTCTGGAGACTAGCATGGAAGCCCTGGAAAAGGAGGGGCACCAGCCTTGGCCCATTTTGAGCTGAGCTGGCTTTATGCCCAGAAAAGGGGATGCCAACACTTTCTCTCTGTCCCTGGATTTGGGAGGATTCTTAGTGCTGTGGTTCAGCTGAGTAATGAGTTAAGTAGCGTTGGAGGTCTTAGCTGGAGGTTGGCCCCTAATCTGTGGAGAAAATGCAACTTGTGATCAGATGACCATCCTCAAAAGGCATTTTCGGGTGTCAGTCTTAACTACAGGCAGTACCCAACTTAAATTACCGTACCAGATCGGTGTTTTGCGACTTTGTTCCCTCAAGCCCTAATAGAAGACCAGAGAAATTTCTGGGTCCTCTACCTTCATTCAGTCAGATGCCGCAGCTTCATCTGTATTTTTATTTGGGGCTTTCTCCTGAATTGTGTTTGAGAAATATATCCCTGCTAAGAAAAAAAAATTTTTTTGTATATAGCTGTACCATTGAGATATATAAACAATAGTTTAATACTAATTTCTTAGCCATAAATGGAAGCCACTTGCCTCCATAGTAATCCAGGTTTATGGTGGGCGTGTGGAATGATACTTTTTGACATGAAACTTTAAAATAGTGATTTTTCCTTTAACCCTACCAGACCCAGCTCAGCACCCACCCCTTTTTATCATAAATATTTTGCAACATAGCTACAATCATCAGCTAAGAATCATGGATGATAAAACCTATCCTCACACATAAAAGCATCACCCGCATTTCCTTTTACGATTCCAAAATGAAATTCATCGGTAATATAACCAACTTCTATACACATGCATCAATTTGATGTCCTAAATGACATATAAACAAATGTATAAATATTTTATAGTGAAAATTATTTTCCTATGTAATATTCTAGCGTGGTTATATTATACAACGTATTGAAATAATGAAACAAGGCCCATACTTGCACCTGCAGATAAAATCGCCACAAATGTGGCAGCTACAAATGGAGACTAGTACAGGTGTGTTCTGTTGGCAACTCAATGCCAGGAGCAGACTGATGGGAGTGACACGATTTTCTAAAACGTGGCCAATTGTTGACAAAGTTGTAGACAAAACAAAAGTCTGTGAGAGCTAACACCCACCTAGTGCTTACTGGGTGCCTGCCATTGTTCTAAATACTTACCCAACAACTTTATGAGGTGAGTGTCCCTGTTCCTCCCATTTTACAAGTGAGGGAGTTAACCGAGGGTAGAGAGCTGGTAACAGCAGAGCTGGGATTAGAAGCGAAGCAATTTAGCTCCGCCCTCCTTGTTTATAATCACTTTACTGTACAGACTTCTCCCAATTTGGGGAATGATTGCATTCCTGAAAATTCCAACACCTCTTAAAACTGGACTGAAAATTTCCCTGTGTGTATACAGATAAAATGAGATTACAGACTCAGATAATGCTGAACCGGGTTTCCATCCACATTAGTACTTGGTGGCGCAGTTGAATGCTGTACTGATGGGGGACAGTTTTTGGTTGTAAGGGATCTAACCAGTGGGGCTCATGTAGCACCCAGGCCCCACCTGTTGACCAGTAGTGGCCCTCCCCATCATTGGCACCTCACATTTCCAAAACTGCCACTAGGACGATACACCATCCTTTTGAGAACAAGTGATTTAAAAGAAATCCTGTCATCATCATCATCAAGTGTGATTCAGTCTTCATGCTATATTCTTGCCCATCGTCTATCTCTGCTTCTTTCTCCTTGCTTCTCTACCCACCAAACCTGAAGTTCTAGAATCAGTTTATGGGGTATTTTGTTTTTCTTTTCCTCCCCCGAAAGCCAAGCAGTTGTTGCTGCCTCTGGCCCAAAGACCATGAATGTTACCGAGTTTCAGTTTGTTGGCCCTCAGAAAACCCTGAGGTATTTACACATAATTTTATCCCTTGAAGAGCTTAAGTAAATTTCTGTTTGACATCTGAATATTATCATCAAAGAATAAAAGGCATGGAGCTTTTTTTGCCACCATAGGCATAAATGGGATGGCCTCATTTGCAGGTCTCCAAGTGTCTGTGACTAGTCTTTATGGACAAGGGGTTCACATTTTGCTCCCACCCTTGTGATAGAGACCCTGCATCATTTCTTTTGGGTTGAGACTACAACAAACCACTACCTTGGAGATTATATGGAAGGTGGATTTTTTTTTATACATTCATGCTAGTCACCTGAAGGTGAGTATTTAAAAATCTGTTGATTAAAAACTGGCTTAAATAGTACACAAAAACTGTCCTTTCTGATGTTTCTTCAAATGGTTGGAAGGTCTTGGCATGATGAATCCAACCTAGTGGGATCATAGTATGTGGTTGGGGATACCTCGAGAGACTTAAAAAAAAAAAAGATTTTATAACCTGTAGGATATGAAATCAGAAAAAAATAGTCATCTTCTTCTTATAAAATTTACCTTATAATTTTCTGGAAATTTCTTAACTGCTAAGTTTTGCCCTATGGGTTTTACTTTTGGTCACTAAAATTACTGCTAGAAATGTGGTGGTCTGACAAAGTTTTGACAAATGTAAGGTTTAATGTAAGTAAAGGAAAAAGAGATTATATTAAATTCAGATTTGCTAGATGGCCATGTTTTTCTCCAGTTTTAGGGATATGAGGTCTGTCCCAAACCCTGTGTGTGTATGTCGAAGAGAATTTTGTGCTCTTACAAGAGTCCTTCTACAATAATGGTCTATGGCTTACTGATTTGGAAAGAGGAGAGATAAGATTTTGTCCACAATCAACAAAATAACATCACTCAGCCAGGAGCCTGTCACACACAGTCTTTGAGAAACTTTGGGGCACCTCCTCCACCCCCCTCACATAGAAAGGCACATGGTGTGGGGTTATTGAAGACAAGAGTCTGGGCATATGCTGACCGTCCTTAGGGATACTCAGAAATTCTATGGCAGCGTTTGTGAAGTTCATCTTCTGATTGATCAACAGTTCATGGGCTGCCAATTTACAACAGACCTCAAGGACTAAAACACTTGAGGCTGCAGCCAAGATCATGGGGTTTAATCCTACACCCTCTCCCGGATCCTACCTACTGCTCTATAGTTACTACTCCTGGGAGGATGGGTCAAGTCTGAGCGTTCGTGCCATGCTTGCAACCGAGTATTACACACGCTCTTCTTTACGGAGATTCTTGTCTCTCTGAGAAGTTGTGAAACTGAAGCCGTGGGAGAAAATTAAAAAATAACCCTCAAAGACATTTAAAAAAGAAGAGCTATATCACACCTGAAATCCAGTGATCCGGGGATGGGGATATTTTCATCATTTTCTCTCCCCATGTTCAGATAGCATTGTAAGCACTCAAATGTTTGTGAAGGAATGATTAAAAGAGAAAAAAATCTGGAAACAAGTTATTTTTTTTTTTTTGCTCTTCCATAGACCAGACCCATTTTAAGGGATTTACCCTGTAATTTTAATGTTAGGGTGACAAAGACCAGATTTTAAGAACTTCCTTCAACATTTTGACGTATCTTGGTCTGAACGTTTTGATTATTTTAGAGAAATGTGAAGGAACTTTAAAAATGAAGCTTGATATAAAGTAATACTGTCTCTGAAGTTAAGAAATTGTCTTTTAATTTTGTCAGTGTTGAGTTCTGTTTTTCCACTCATAAATACCTCTCTGTCATTCCAACTGAGGCTGTGCCAGGGTAAGAGTGGAGAGATTTCAGGAATTAGTACTAATTTAGGGGTCTTTGACTTTTGGAAATTGGCAGTAGTTAGAAGCAGTTGGGGGCTCAGCTTTTGAAGTCAGATAATCCAGCTGACCCACTTTACCACTTAGAGGCTTTGTGACTTGAAGCAAGTTACTTATCTCTCTGCTCTCCAGTTATCTACAAAATGAGGGTAATAATAGAATTGACTTCATAGGCTTATGGGGATTAAAGGAGATAATGTTTGTAAGGCCCCTTAGTATCGTCTACCAAGCAGCACTTAATAGATACTGACTTTAGTTGGAATACTCTAGTAGTAGTGTTTACACCATCTTGACCTCTAGTGAATAAGACATTCCAGAACTGGTCTACAGAGAACCGCTCATTCTTTTGTCCATAGGCAGCAAAATACTGCCTGTCACACAGAGGGCTGCTGTGCCGTGTGTGACCCAGAAGTGTGGTTTTTGTTGGTACAAATCTCAGTTGCTCAGAAGTGTTAGCTGAGTCAGAACTCAAGCGGTAACAGCCTGTCTGACTGGACACATCCAGAATCACAGTATCGTGACACCAGCTTGACTTACCGCCAACATATCTTCTCTCTTACTGCCCCCCTCCAGCTTTCTTTGGCAAAATGATGTAGGAAAACAAAATCTGAGCATTTGCCCATCTCCTGTTCGGCTGAATGACTTTTGCCCCTCATCCCCAGTTTAGAGTGGTACCCCCAAACTTATTTCTGTGTTTCAGAAGAAATAAGGAGTTAGAAGAATAGGAGTCATGTAGAATGGTACCCATTTTGAAAATGTTCATGAGAATGAACTCTTACATGAAGTGAAAAGATTGTGTATTGCCTTTGCAGAAGCTGAAAAGGCCCGTCCTTGGATGCCTTTTCCCACTAATGCTGTGGTGGGCTGGGGGTAATTAGGGAAGAGAACCTGTGGGAGGGACAAGGGGGCTGGAAGGTGA